CATAATCATCAGTATTAAAACAATTAAAGACCTGAAATATTTCAGTTGGTGTGCAATGAATCTGAAATATATGAAAGTTTCATTTTTATCATTACATTATGGAAAATAATGACCTTTATCACAATATGCTAATTTTTTGAGAAGGACCTGTATACATATATTTTTTGTGCGCTGGGAATGTGCGAGCACAGCAGTGCGCGATTGCGCAAGCGCGAAGTTTAGAGAGAACTACACAGAATATTAAATAAACTTGATTATTGACAGATAAAATAGTTTTAACACTTTCTGTGATAATACCGAACGCTTATTATTTGCATAATATGTCGCTTCATTCGTTACAGCTGTTTATAAACCCACTTACAAGAATGCTAGTTGTAACGAATTTCGCTCAATAAAGTTTATTGTAGTGACGTAAATTTCCTGCGCCGCTTGAGTTTAAAAAGGCTCGCCGTTGTTGCACTCGCCCTTTTCGACTTCCTCCCGCCTTCGCAGTAGTTATTCTGAAAGCTGAAGTGTTGTTTCAATCAGGTGCGGTTGGTCAGAAAATTAAATTCACTTTTTATTTTAGAAAATAAACGTAGACGTGTGTTTGCAGTAGTGCTTGTAAAATTAAAATGTTTAGCTGTAATGCTATGTAGCCTTAAGGCCTCAGCCACGTGGAGAATCTGCCGTCTCGCTTGGCTTTACTGCAATGAGCAAATAGTTTCCTGTTTCAGCAGACCTGTATAAAAGTGAAAATTGTTTGTGAAGTTAATCAAAATGTAATATTGCATCCTATTGTGCACTTTCAGAGATAACTGATCTTGAGTTATAATGGGTTCTTCAAACCTCATACTATTAAATTTGTTCAGTTGAAACTTAACTTGTAGTAATATGGAGACATTTTTTTTACCTTTTTATAATTATGCAGATTTAGATTCATGGTAGTAGTTGTTTAGATTTTCTGTTAAGTGTTCTCTTTAACCTTCTAGGAGTTACCAGTCTGTTATGGCACAAATGTCCCAAACAAGCCTGTGTGTGTGTGGTCATCTTGTCCCAAGGTGAGTGAAGTGACTCAAACTTGTAATGACTTCAGTGTCTGTGATGAAAACTGTGAATAGGAAGTGCCGTCTGATGCGACAACTGACGATGTTCCTCACTGTTCTGAGCCTGAAACCTTACTAAAACTCAAAACATAACTAAAATAACTTTATTAAAGCAAGTACATTTTCTTTTCTCAGACTTGATGGAACGTAATGGCTCAAGAGAACAAGTCATGTCAGAGGTCAGTAGACTTATTTTTGCTGCAAGATTAAACTAAATGTGATAAAATTAAGCTGGAACTGATTAAGTGGTGAATTCTGCTACAGCTTTGATTTGTCGTAAAAGAGAATGCACTAAACTGAATGTCTTTTATTTAATAGCTGCTCTGTTGTGGTACAAGTCCCAGCTGAACCTACGGACTCATTGTCTGCAGGTAAACGATGCAAAATCAGTCACTACAAAATATTAAACATCTCTCTGTTATGATGAAACTTAAACAATAGCTGGAATTACCGGCAGACTGTTAAGTGTTGATCAATCGTTTCCTGAACACGCAGTAGTGACATTTTTTGTGCAATTGCTGTGATCACTATTAGTTTCTTTTTCTTTAAGCTTCTTTGTTTTTCCCCAAGGTGATGAGAGCTGGCTGAGATTCATCTAAAATGTGATTCCTGCAGTGCAACCTCAGTTTTCAGATGAGCCTAGTAAGTTTATTTCATTTAGAAATTGATCTTTTTTATTTAGTTCACCTTTTTATACAATCAAAACTTGATCAAGCTGCTAATTTTTATGTATTACCAAATCTGATACAAGTTGTATAAAGGTGAGTTTAAGGAAAAGCTTGTTTACGAAGTCTGAGCAGCTTTGTCTGTGATGAAAACCTGGAATAGGAAGTGCCGTCAGATGCGACAACTGACGATTATTCTAATCCATTTTTCTGAGTCTTATTAAATCAAATATATTTAGGATCCACTGTTAACTTCTTGTTTTAATTTTTTCCTTTCCTCCATTTCTGCAGGGTTTCTGTAGCTGATCCCTGCCCGTTGATGTACACGGTTGAGTGAAAGGTAATTTTTAAGCCTTTATAATGGCTGCCATTCACTGTAGTGATGAAATCTAAACTGAAAATGCTGGAATTACCGTCAGATTGTTCAGTGGTGACTTTCGGTTTTCTGAACTCTGAATGGCAGAATTACACATCAAGTCTCAATGTCAATATTTAATACTCTAATTATGCCTTACCCTTCAGAACTGGGTGCAGAACGTTTGCAGCAACTCTACAGTGGTGAACTTGTGTGCTCAGCATGGTAAGATGCATTTCACAACTTGCAGAAGTGTTCAAAGTGAAGGGTTAAATAAAATTTTGTGGCTAAAATATGGCTTGTAGTCAAAATGTCCTGCTTCAGTCGATTTCCCTTACTGGGGAAATTGGGACATTGTACTGTAATTATTATTATTAAACTTATTTTACCAGAGGAAATGTATAATTGAAGTGAAAAACATTTTTCAATAGAGTCCTGGTCAAGATGGGCAACAGCAAGTACCAATAAGTTGCGAGGAAATGAGAAACATGAGAATGTGAAATGCATTACTGTACATTACTACAAACTAAAAGTAACTTGTTCATATAATGAAGTTAACTTATCAGTTTAAACCTCTGAGATACTAAGTGTTAATCTCCAATCTGCAACATATTCCACGGTGCATATTAACCATATAATATAAATAAACATATTCCAAAGTTGCAGAATAAATTAAAAAAAGCCTTTTTTTACCCATTTCAGTTGAGGCAAATAAAACAAAGCAACTGTCGCATGAACAAAGGGTAAAGAACAGCACTTTTTTTATAGAATTGCATTACATATGTACAAATGGTTTAGTCCTTGTATAAAAATGTGTCAATACCAATTCCTTCTAGTGGCTAGAGCAGCCCCATCCCACAAGACTAAACAGTTTTATAGAGTGGGGAACATGAACCCTTAGACCATGTTCTGATTTTAAGGCAAAACGGGATGTACTCAAGTTGATTTAACTTAGTTTTTTTTTTTTTTCTCCTGTCTCTTTAAATCTAATCCATTTCTTCTTCCTCCTCAGATGGTAAAACAAGTGGAGCGTCGTGTGAAGAGTTCGCTTGAGGATTGACCTGTCTGCCTCAGTCAATTAGCCGGGAAGGCAGCGCTCGCTCCTCAGCAGATGACGTCACATTCCTAATGTTTGCGCATCAAGATGTTTTAACAGTCGTTTTAAAGAGTCTGTGAGATGCATATCATATAAAGGCAAGAAGAAAATATCTTAACATTTAAGAAATTTGGTAGAATGCACACGTTTTTTTTTTTTTTTTTTTTTGTCACAAGCGAGGCATATTTTGACGAGGCCTTCTGTTGCAGGTCGAAACTGGACTGACTTATCACAGCATGTCAGTCAGGCTTCCTCACTGTTGCTAAATCTCGTTTAAAAACACTTGTTCCACGGCTTTCAATCCAGTGTGAGATAATTTTAACTTCACTGTTTGTTTTAGTCTCTTAGTTATCGTTGCCTCTGAATTTTATGTATTCTGTCCTTTGTTTTGTTGTGCAGCACTTTGGTTGGCCTCACTGCTGTTTTAAAGTGCTTTTTAAATAAAGTTGTATGGCATTTATCTTGTTGAACTTGTTGCATCCAAAGTAAAATTGGAAGTACAATAATGTCAGTGGAAGTTGATGGTCTTGTTTAAAAAAAAAGGGGGGGGATTAATAAAGCTTTTCTGAAGCCTTGAAACTTGTTTTGAAAAGAGGTTCATTACTTGAGGCTGTTCAACACTGCTCTTTCGTGATATATAGCCAAATGTAAAAGCTTGAAATCACAGCATGATTAGAACAGACCTCGATGGTAATTGAACTTCGGTACAATCACATTTGTATCGACTTCCTAGAGCAAAAATAAAAGCTAATGTATTGTAAAATAAGGCAACTAAAGTGTGTGAAACATGATTAGGCAGCACTGTGGTGCTGTTGGGCTAAGATAAAAGCTGAATCTTGACTTGGTTGACCTGTACTGTAACAATTGTCAGTCGCATGAGGTGGAATGGAATTGTGTACTCTGGATCCCAGTTGCACCCAAAAATCTAAAGTGTAAGAAGAAACTAAGGATTTAAGATGTGCACTAAACACTAATGTAAGACTACTGCGTGCAGCCTGAACATGAGTGAGAGTATGAATACAGCAGCATAGATTAGTTGTCACCAATTCAAGCATGTCCAGGGTGAAACGTGTCATCTTAATGTAGGCGTTTCCTATGCAGCAGTAACCACAATGGGAGAAGAGGGCAGCCCACTAACTGGGTTGAGTGTAACTGGAATGCTTTCCTCTGAGCCACTGTGCAGCTAAGATGCTACACATTGATACAGTATGTGAAGATGGTCTCTATGGAGCATCAGTAGAAAGACCAGCTGTGATGTTCCTCAATCTTGACCACTCAGGAAGTAATCTGTCGAGCAATGAGGCAACAGCTCTAACTGATCCACCATGCTGCCTCACATGTAAACTTGCCAGTAGTTATTTTATTAAATAAATGAACAGCAGATTTGTCTGTAATCCCTGTGAAATCGCCAATGATTGGTTTGGAATGTCCATATTCACGCTCGGTGCTCCTGATCGCATCATTTCCACATTGTTTTCTGCCCCGACAACCAGTTCAGTAATCCCACTGACCTGAGCACGCACAGCTGCTGTTTAAGTGCAATTATTGAAAGGCGACACGGTGGATCAGTTGGTACAGCTGCCGCCTCTCAGCGAGGTTATCAGATCAAATCCTGGCCTGTGGCCTTTCTAGGTGGAGTTTGTGTTCTCTCTGTGCATGCGTGGGTTTTCTCTGGGTATTCCACACAGACCAAAAACACGCATGTTAGACTGATTAGTAACTAAATTGTCCCTGTTTGTCTCTCTGTCCCTGTGATGGACTGGCGACCAGTCCAGGGTGTCCCCTGCTTCTCACGCAGTTACTTCTGGATATGAACACTGGTGAGCTGAAAAGAAAGAAGTGGACAAAGATGATGGATGGATGGATATATTGACTCCTGTTGTAAGAATGAATGACTTTCCTGCTTCTTCTCACTGCAGATTTTAATGAAAGTCAACTTGATAAAGAAGCCAATGTTTGAAACGGTTGCACGTGTAAGATGCTCTGATGGCAAAAACCATTTGAACAAACTACGCTGAGCTGAGGGATTTGAACAGTGACTTTGAGTTTAACTACTGAACGTCGTATAATAAAAGAATAAATATAAAATGGAAATCAAGCAGAAAAAAAATTTGAATGTGTCGTTTTCAAGTTGGGTGTTTTTCTGGACTGGAGTTGAACAAGGAATACAAGAAAATCTTAATGGTTAACCATAACATTTTCAAGTGTATACACTGTATAAAAACAGGTAGGATGAGGTAGAGGCAGTTGACAATCTTGGTAAGTGGAGGGACCAGTTTTATCCACATGCATGTGATCAAGGCCAACAGCGGCCTTGATCACAATAATTCTCTTTTGCCACCCCAGTCATTTGAGGCAACAATCCTTTTAAGCGACATAGAAGTCAAGTCTAAATTATTTATAAAGCAACTGTAACCAAAGTGCTTTAAACTGAAGCTTCCTCAAATTATATCATTTGAGGAAACCAGTTTACATATATGGCAGCAGCCATCTTGGATTTTGACATGGCAACTGAATTTTTTAAAGGAACTTTTACGCCTGAACACAGCCACACACTGAAATGGAAACTTATTTTCAAGTCATGCTCGCAACATGCACAGTTGCACACATGAACGGATGAAGAGTATTTCCAATTCCCCCTCTTCACTCCAACGGGGGACACTATAGGTGGCCTGATGGGTTACACCTCTCAGAGAAATTAAACAAGAATTTATTTTAAAAATGTGATAAAGAACTTATTACTGACAAAAATAATTGGCCATTTGGAGATGGTTTCTTACCGTACACTTTTTCAAATGAATTAAAAAGTTGGACATGTAAATATTTCGTATAACTTCCTGAGGTCTTTCTTTGTAAAATCTCTGCTCAACTGCATTTAAATATTAAATTTAGCAAATGAATAGGGAAAAAAATGTAGCTTGTTTTGTTCACGTGTGTTAATGCAAATAAAATAAACCATTATTTGGATGTTTCCCTCTGCCAGATAAAGCTGCAGTTTTTGATTGGTGGTGATTAATTAAATAATTGAACATGTGTGCAAACCATGCTGAAAGAACAATGTGATCTTTTTGAATACCCACTTTATTAAGTGTTGGAAACCTGTGAGCGATTAAACAAAAAACCCCTGAGCTTTCATGCAAGCTGTTTGCAAAATGCCAATCTCTCAGGTTCAAGAGTCAAATCCTTTGGTGGCCTGTTTCTCTTTTCTCCACTATTTTAAGAATAGAATAGAAACAGCCTTTATTGTCCCACGGATGGGAAATTCAAGTGTAACAGCAGCAACAGATAAAAAAATTCACACAAAAGTTCCTAAATGTTAAAAACAAACAATATATAAAGAAATACAATAAACAATATCAATAATAATGTTCAGTTTTGTACTGGAACATTGAGAATGGCAGACTATTTACAGTACAGTATTACAGGCAGAGTGTGTTTTAGCAGAGATCAGCATGTGTTTAATCCTTAATGAGTTTGTTGGGAGCAGTGATGGTTGTAGAATCTAACAGCTGCTGGGAGGAAGGAGCTGTGGTAACGCTCCTTTGTGCATTTAGGATGCAGTAATCCGTCACTGAACGAGCTCTCCAGTTCAGCAGCAGCTTCATGCATGGGGTGGGAGACGTTGTCCAGCAATGATGTTATTTTAGCTGGAGTCCTTCTGCCTCCCACCACCTGCACTGGGTCGAGGGGGCGTCCAAGCACAGAGCTGGCCTTCTTGATGAGCTTATCTAGCTGCTGCTCCAACACACACCACCATAGAAGATGGCTGATGCCACTACTGAGTCAAAGGTGGTCTTCAGGAGCACCCCCTGCACTCCAAAAGACCCGTCTCCTCAGCAGGTAGAGTCTGCTCTGACCCTTCCTGTAAAGTGCATCAGTGTTGTGAGACCAGTCCAGTTTATTGTTCAGATGAACACCCAGGTACTTAAAGAGTCCACGATCTCCATGTTCACACCCTGGATGTTCACCGGGGTCAGTGAGGTGGACCTGTGCCTGTGGAAATCCACCACCAGCTCCTTAGTTTTAGCAGCGTTGATCAGGAGGTGGTTCTACTGGCACCAGTCCACAAAGTCTCGAGTCCGCTGACTGTACTCCGAGTCGTCCTCCCCTGTGATGAGGCCGACTATGGCAGAGTCATCAGAGAACTTTTGCAGATGGCAGTGTGGGGAGTCGATGGTGAAGTCTGCAGTGTGGAGGGTGAAGAGGAACGGTGCCAGCACAGTTCCCTGTGGGACCCCCGTACTGCAGACCAGGCTGTCAAGAGACACAGCCCTGTGTCCTCACGTACTGTGGGCGTCCAGTGAGGTAATCCAGTATCCACTGGGACATGTGGTGATCCAATCCTGATAAATCCAGCTTGTTAAAACATAAGATCAGAAAAATGACACAATTGCTAAAACCCTCACAATCTGTGGTCATTGAATCTTGCTGTTTAGCACAATTTATATTTGAAACAGCCAAGACTCTATGCAAAAGTTGGTCTAGCCATGTAATTTCTGTAATAATCATCTAAAATATATTCTGAAAAAGTGATTTTTGAACGCATTTAAAAATAAAACAAGAAAAAACATTCAGGAGTTAAGAAAAGGAAATGTGAACCAGAAATGGTTTAATAAACTTGTTAATGAGCACAGCAGATAAAAATAGTGAATAAAGAGAAACATCACCAGTTCACAAATTATTCCACACTTTTCGATTCTCCTGAATCAACAATTAGGTAAAACATCTTAACGCCAGAGCTACAGCTTTCTTATTTACAAGTCAGCATTTTAATTCAAGAACAACAAATTCTAGACTTTACTCGTTCCTGTCACCAAGAACTGTGATCACCACCTGCACTAATTCAGTGATTACACGTAAAGGTCCTACTCAGTACACAGTACACGTATATTGTGTATTAAAGATGATAATGCACTAAAATACCATTTTATCTACTCATTTCTACAGAGGCTTTAGGGTTGTTAAATGAAACTATATGTTTATTTAGCCTTTAAATAAATCATCATTGGAATAACAGGGTGAGTGAGGAGAAAATGTTGACAAAAGAAAAACAAGTATCTTTTCAAAACGTGTTTTTGTTTGATAAATCAGCCAAATGTCCTGTAAGCTGAGACGAACATGTTTTTGTCGTGTTCGCCTAAGATCAGTTCTCTTCTTTCTCGATGTAGGTCTTACAGGCTGAGCGCGCCATCTGTCTCGCCATGTACCGCTCTCGAGCCGAACTCACAGTCTGATCCGTGCTGCGCTTTGCAAACTTGTTTGCCTTTTCCTCAGCATCTTCCTTCTCCTCGCTTTCCTTTTCCTGTTTTTCTTCTTCTTTCTTCACACCTTCCTTGACCGTTACCTCCGTTTCGGCGTCTTTTACGTCACTTGTTGCCGTCTTCTCCTTCTCGGGTTCCTTCTCTCTCTCCTTCTCTTCCTCCTGATGTTTGTCCTTTCGTTTGTCGTCATTTGAATGCCTTCTCTTCTCTCTTTCAGCATTTTTCTCTTTCTCTTTAGGACTCCTTTCTCTCTTTCTATGCCTTTCTTCCCTCTCTGTGTCCCCCCTGCCTCTGCTTCTGTCATTGTCCCTACCTCGATCTCTCTCCCTGTCTTTTCTTCTGTCCTTGTCACTTCTTCTGTCTCCATGTTTGTTGTTCTTTTCCCTGCCCCGGTGCCTGTCCCTCTCTCTGTCTCTATGGCTCTTTTTAGTTTTGTCTCTGCGCCTCTCTGTTTGCCTCTCGTCTCCACTCCCAGATGAAGGCGACCTCTGTCGGTACTGGCGATTTGAGTGTGCAGATCCTCCCCCAGGTTTGCTGAACCCAGTTTTCTGCTCACTGCTTTCCTCGTTGTCACTTCCTGAACTTGGGACATTCCCGTGAGATGTGGGTGAAGGAACAGGTGATGACTTCCCAATCTCTTCGGAAACTTTTGAAGTTTGGCTGCTGTGAATAAAATAAACACAATCAGAGACTGGGCTGGAGTAAAATGCAGAATGTTCATAGCAAGCAGCAAAAAGCTGCAGTGACTGACTTGTTTGTCGAGCGATCAGGTATGGCCTCCTCTCCAACCGTCTGATTCAGCAAGTGCCGATAGAAACCGCTCAGGTCTTTCTGCTTCTTCACATCTAAAGCAGCTACGAAGAAAAAAAGATGATATTAAAAATATAAACAGCTTGCCCCAAAAAGTCTTTATTTAATGGAATAGCTTCAGCCTTGATCAATGAACACATTCCCCACAGCCTTGATTCGATAAATACATGCCAATATTATTATTTTCACTTCATAAGGCAGAATATTTGTGATTTTTAGTCACATTAAAAATATTTTGTCTTTAATATTTTCAGGATTGCAAACAGATTTTAAAGAATTTGACATTAACTGGTACAGTAGTCCCTCGTTACTTCGCGGTTCGTTTTTTGCAGACTCGCTCTATCAATGTTTTTTAAAGTAAGATTGGACATGACACACAAGTGGCTGATTGATGGATGAGCCGCACGACTGGCAAGGAATTTTTATTTAAAATAAATTTTAAATTATTTAGCACCTCCTGCGCCTCTGTGCAGCCCACACTGCAGGATAAACCTCCTCCTGCAGCTGATCAGCTGATCTCTGTGCAGAGCTGAGAAGTGGGCGTGGCCAATAGCGCTTTCAGGTGGCTGAGAGCAGCGGAGGCAGAGAGGTGAAATCTGACATTCTGTGCTCTTTTAGAGCGTTTAGTTCAGAAACATCGTTTAGAATAATGCAAGAGTGTGAGAAGGGTTTACAACACCTTATCTCTATATCCATCTATCCATCTATATATATATATATATCTATATATATATACACACACTAAAATAAACTACTACTTACTACTTGTACTACTATTCCTACTTCACGGTTTTTCACTTATTGCAAGGTTTCAGGGTACGGATCCCGCACGATAAACGAGGCGCTGCTGTAATCTGTTTCATTTACATTAAAAAAAGTTCATATTTTCTGGAGAAAGTTTAAATAATGTGTTGGTTGAAAAGTATCACTCCTACCTTCAATCTCTGCCTGTCTTTTTTCTCGTTCCTGCTCCTCTTTTTGCTCCTCCAGTTTTTTCTTATACGCAGATGTCACATAAGCTTCTTTATCAGCAAACTTCTCTCCCTCTGCTTCCCTTTCTTTCTGAATTTTCCTCTCCTCTCTTCGCTCCTGTTCCTTCTTTCTATCTTCTACTGCTTTCATTAACTGGTGAATGTATTTTGGCTGTAACACAGGAAAAAACAAAAAGTAAATATTACGTTGTGCTCACAAGGTTGCTCATACAAGTTACTTTTCCTGCAGCAAAAGGACACAAAAACAACTTAAACACCATTGTAACCAAATAATTTCAAATGCAAAAGCTCCATGCATTTCCAAGTATTCAATATAACTGAAATCACCTTTTTGTCAGCACCTCCCAGAATATTTTTGTTGCTCTCAAGTTTCTGTTTTTGCATGTCATCATACACACCATCATAGTCATACACAGTGCTGTCCTGCTCAAGAGCCTTCTGCATCTCTAAACGAGTCTTGAGAGAAAGAGAAACAAAGAATGAAAGCAAATTACAAAGAGTTAATTGTTAAAAAAAGAAACCTTAAATGTTTTTTTTTTTTAACTCTTACCTGCTTCATCATTTTCTTTTTGATAGCTTCCCTCTGCAAACTCTCACCAACTGAAGTCTGAAGAATAAAACATAACAACATATGCTCAATATATTTGGACAGAATTGCTTCTTTTTATACAAAATCTGGTTGATTACCATGACAGGACAGAATGTTTACCCACTTCATCGTCAGAATCATCCCCAAACACAGAGGGTTTGGACAAGACTGCTGACTTTGATGCTCCCTTCTTCTGTGGGAAGATCAGTCCGTACCTGAGGGAAAATAAGGAAACAAGTTAGTGAAACTTTGTTCTAAAGTACATTCTCACATAGAAAGTGACAATTTATAAGATTTGTACTAGAACAAATGAAGAGTAAAGTAAGTTAATCTGCTCTTTTTTTCTAAACCTCTCCTCTCAAAACCCAAGCAAGAAAGTAAATGGTTGTGACAGTTTGGACAATATTCACGGTAAGGCCTTCTTGGTACGCAGAAAACAGCACGTTGTAGTCATATATTTCAGTCCAGATCATTTCATTTGTTACACAAGAGCTCTGGTAGTGAGACCAAGTCATTCGATCAGCTCTGGGTTCTCGATTTCTAGGGTTAGGAACAGAACCAAAAGACTCACATTTTCTGTTAGGTTGGTTTTGAATTTTATACACTGGTGCTGTTGATATTAATTGAAGCCTTGCTACACCACCACCACCACCACCACCACCACCACCACCACCACCAACAACAACAACAACAACAACAACAACAACAACAACAACAACAACAACAACAACAACAACAACAATATATATATATATATATATATATATATTTTTTTTTTTTTTTCATTCATAATGCCAAACATAATCCAAAAACAGTATGAACTGGTTGATGTGCATAAATGTATGAATCCAAAGGGAAAGTAGCACTCTGGAAGCGTAGCTCTTTGAATAAATAACAAATGTAACTTTCAACAGGTGGGAGTCCTTATAATTAAAAATGAACGTCTCCTATTATTTTAACTGCTATTAGTGGAGTCTGTCAACATCTTCAGAAATTTGCAACTAACGATTAGAATAATAGCTTTAAATTTTACTAAGGAAAAAAGTCATCTTCGTGTGAGCTGGTTATTTGCCATTAGATGTCTCATTTCAGCGCACTTAGCAACTTTATTTATGTAATAAACAAATCATAAAAGCAAAATGCACGGTTCAAACGAATATGAACAAAGTAATGTTAGCTGGAGACGCAAATTAACTCTCACAAAGGACATACGATATTACTTCTTGTAAAAATATTAAAACTATCAAACATGTCGCAAGTCTAAGATATGAACGTTCATAAAAATTATACAAAAATGTCACTTTTCAACTAGCCGAGCAGTGTTAGCATATCGTTAGCTGACTTCAGCGGCTCCGTCTAACAAACAATAATTAGTTGTTAAGCCACAGCTGCTACATACATGTCAATTCTCTGCCATTATAGTAAACATGATAATCAACCGCATTATTTAATAGCTGACAATAACGTCGTAGCTTCGTTAGCATGTTTCACTTACTGCTTTGTAGGGACCGCCATCTTGGTCTGTTGACGCTGAAAACCGCAGCAGATTCGACACAAAATAAGTTCAGTGAGCAAACAAGAATCGCTAAGTAATATTTAACAGAGAAGTAAAAATAGTCATACAACATATTTAAATCCTTGTGTTATTGAAGACACAGCATTTTCTTTGTATGAAATAAAGGATTGGTTTGTCACGAATGTACGAACTTGTAGAAGCTTCATGAACAATGACAAAACTCGACCAGTAGAGGGCGACATTGGTTCAAACTGTAAGGTTCGCACCACTGTACTACAATAGAAATACTGTACATCCATTCTATTCTATTTCACTCAGAGAAACTACAGATAAAAAAAAAAAAACGCTGCCTTATTGAAAATGAATTTAAAATGAGAGAAATTATCCACAGTACTTTATCTTGGTATTTTCAAACTTCGGGTAAAGATTAGAGAGACGTAAAAATTGTTCCATAATTGTGCTGAAGGCTTGTGATAGTTCAATCAACCTTTATTTAGACAGGTAAATCCCATTGAGCCTCGAGGACTCATTTACAAGAGAGACCTGATTTAACAAAGAAAGATGACAACAATGGACAACAGCAACAACAATAAACAGTTATAAAAAAGCATACTACAGTTTTTTTTTTTTTTTTTTTTTTTTAACAAATAGGATGGCTAAAAGGAAAAGGTAACAAAACAAAAAAACAGCTAGATTCCAAGACAAATGTAGAAAACTAACAACAGGAACATGTCAGCATTGGACCCTGCCAGGAGTCCAACAGATTCTTAAAGACACTTAGAGAGGTCAAGGTCGAGAGCTTCAAATCTTTTTGTAAGATATTCCAGGAAACAGGAGCGGAATAGGAGAAGGCCCTTTTGCCTAGTTCAGTCCTCATTGAGGGAACACTGCAGGTAATAATGTCCTGAGAGCGCACGCCGTAGCTGCACTCACGCAGAGACATGTAGGAGGAGATGTATGAAGGCAGCAGACCAAGAAGTGATTTAAAGATGAAAATATACCAGTGAGAGAGTCTGCGTGAAGTTAATGATGTCCTGTTAACCAGTGAATACAGGGTGCAGTGGTGGGTACGATAATCACAGCCAGTTATGAATCTTTAATCTAGTTAACTGTCTAATGCTTTCTGTGAGCCATTTAATCCATTGACGTGAAACTTCTATCATCAATCCAGTGTCTAAAACAAGCAGCACGGCTTCAAGGTTCCAAATTGAAACGAGAATGCTGTAAATGAGGGAGAGCTGGATCTGGAGCAGTGTCGTGCAGTCAGGGGAGGCTGGTGAGGCACATGACAAGTAAAATACTAACAATGATAAGAGAAAATACATTTGACAACTTGACTGTTCTATAAAACTGTTTAACAAAACTGTTTTATAAAACTGTTTTCTGAATTATTTCAACACTTCAATGGTCAGAATCGCAGAATGTATGCATTACTGTTCAAACACATGCAGAAATGTGCTGGGTGAGGCAGTGTAGTGCTGTGGCTCACCTCTAGTGGATCTGTGTCACATACAGAAGCACAGAAAACTGTTGGAGTCAGCCTCCCCACCATCACAGTCATAAACACCTCCAGATGCAAGAAGAGGGCCACCTGCATCATGAAGGACTCCACTCACCCAGCACACACACTTTTTGCCCCGCTCCCCTCAGGAAGGAGGTTAAGGAACATTAAATGTAGAACCACTAGACTGAGGAACAGCTTCTACCTTGAAGCTGTTAGACTCATAAATCCCTAACCAGGATTGTCACTGTAAGAAAAAAAAATCACTGTAATGCCATTTTAATTGGTGATATGTGACTTATCTGGGCTGCTGATTATCCATGTTGCTGATCTCATGCTGCTGTTCATTCCTATCTACACCACAGACATATACAGTATTTGTGCTGCTGTTGTTATGCCATATTGTTTTACATTATTAGTGCTTAGCATATGTCTTAGATCTTTTAGTGTACCGTTTGGCGTTCATTTAGCATATATCTTAGATCCCTTATACTGTTTCTTTTTTCACTTTATATTTTTGCTATTGTTGGGTGTTACTGGGACCCTGAGTATATAATTTTGTTCGACCTCATGTACCACATGTGATGTGAATGACAATAAAATTGACTTGAACTTGAAGATTCAAGGCGACTTTATTGTCAGTTGCATCACATGTGGTACATGAGGTGGAAAGAAATTGTGTACTCAAGGTCCCAGTTACACTAAAAAATAGAAAAAACAATTTTTTTTTTCATTTGGCTGCTCCCTTCTTCATGGGTCGCCACAGCGAACTAAGTTGCAGACTTGGCAATTATTTTTACACCGAATGCCCTACTTGACACAACCACAGACCTCTGAGCTACCACATCCCTCTGTGTGAAGCAGAGAGCTGCTACTTAGGGCACACAAGTGAGCAGATGATGTGCGTTAAGGGCCTTGCTCAAGGGCTCAAAGTGGGGCAAATGAGGGTGGAGGGAGGTGTGGGTGATTCCCCTATCCCACCCACATTTTGATGTTGTTGACCAGCGATCTTCCGATCACAGGCCCACCTCTCTAGCCTCTGCGCCACCACTCCCCCTATAATAATAACATTAATTCTCATACATTCTCAAGCAACTTGCAGTATTGCAGTAACAACATTTCAAAAACTTTTTCCATTTGCAAAACATTTTAATTTTTCAAGGTCAAAATCAAGTTTTTTTTTTAATTGTCATTCACATCACATGTGGTACATGAGGTGGAACAAAACTATGTACACAGGGTCTCAGTTACATCCAACAAAAATACAAATTGTAAAGAAAAAAACATCAACTCAAAATACACTAAACACTAATGGTACAAAAACAATGTGCCAAACAACAGCAGCATGAACATGAGTCTGTGTGAGCAGATGAACACAACAACATGAAATAAATCAGCAGCATGAGATCAGCAGCATGGATAGTCAGCAGCACATATCAACAACCAAGTGGCATTACAGTGATTTTTTTTCCTCGCAGTAATTTTCACAGTAATTATCCTCGTTAGAGATTCATGAGTCTAACAGCCTCATGGTAGAAGCTGTTCCTCAGTCTAGTGGTTCTACACTTAATGCTCTTCAACCTTCTGCCTGAAGGGAGCGGGGCAAAAAGTGTGTGTACTGGGTGAGTGGGGTCCTTCATGATGCAGGTGGCTCTCTTCCTGTATCTGGAGGTGTAGATGTCTGTGATGGTGGGGAGACTGACTCCAACAGACTTCTGTGCAGCCTTCACCACTCTCTGCAAAGCTCTTCTTTCTGCAGCTGTGCAGCCTTCATGCCACACATTGATGCTGGAGCCCAGGATGCTCTCCACTGCACACCTGTAGAAGGAGGTGAGGACTGAACTTCCCAGACCAGCTCACCTCAGCCGCCTGAGGAAGTTGAGTCTCTGATGAGCTTTCTTGATCAGGCTGGTGGCGTTGTTGCCCCAGCTGTACAACTACTTGTAGCTGGAGACAACTTCCCCTGCAGATCCTCCTATGTTCGGGGGGGGGGGGGGGGGTGTATTCCGTCTGTATTTATAGCCCCAGAAGGTTAATAACTATGATCAACTATTTGGCTTCTGTGTGATACAGTGATGTTGAGTATAAGGGGTTATTGCCTCTTCTGAAAAGATGAAATCTTGGAAGAAATAAAAGATATCCTGAAGACATCCTGATGCATGCTCAATTATCCAGGTAGGAAAATCTAACATTGTAAAGTCAGGTCCTCTGGACCCATTCTTTTTTGTTGATAAGTTTCCTCTTTTCCCCAAAAGACTTCTTCAGTCTGAGGAGCTGCAACAAACTCAAGTCTTAAAAACAGCACCTTCTCATAGTGGATTAATCAGTTTGCTGGTGACAGACAAAATTAGTTGTTCACATGCAAAAGAATGGACCATCAGTCCAGCAATTGGTCAACATGCTCTGATGGCCGCTTGCTATTCAAAGAGTGATCCTTGCAATAACAGCATTTTAAGAGGGTGACAGATGAACACGGAGGCCTCCTCCCCGTTAAACGATGGACGAGTTCCTTCACAAAGAGAACTTTGTGAAGAACTTAGATCCACTATGAGAAGGTGCTGTTTATAAGACTGAGTGTATTGCAGCTCCTCAGACTGAAGAAGTCTTTTGGATAAAAGATGAAACGTTTCAACAAAGAAGAATCTGTGCAGACAATCCGACAACACTGTTAGAACTATCCTGAAAACATTTCGTCCCAAAGAATGACAGCAAGTCCTGCTGCAGATCCACAATTGGATTGGATACCTGAGTCAACTGAACATCTACTTCTTCTCTGACTCTGTGACACGATATAAGCACTCTACTGAAGATATATAGATGATGCAAAAGTTTTTTCATTGATAAAGGAAGCCAGTATAAAGAAGATATACATTTCAAGATACTGGTATGAGTAATATGAGTCTTCTACTTTATTTCGACCAAGGTGGTAAAAATAAAAAAACCTTTATTTGATTTGATTAAGTGAGTTATTTCTTATTCTCACTGTTAAATAAAAATAAAAAAATCAGTGGTAACTAAGCCTTTCTGAAACACTAAAGATCACACGGCTCACCTGTGATTAAACTTGCGGTTTCATATTCTCACAGCTTCCTCTGAGCGACTCTAAATCTAAAGACCATTATCTCTGTCGTAATCTGCATCTCATCTCCTCTCTGGCCTCGCTGCTAATCCCTCCTGTACAAACTAAAACTAAAACAAGCACAGCATCCTGACGCACAAATGAAAGGAGCGCTGACAGAGTGAGCTTTGGCTTGGAGGAATAAAAGGACATGTCAATTGACAAAAAGATTGAGAAACTGGTAAAGGGACTCAGAGTCCTGAGTTAAGACAATAAAGGTGCATCTTTTCTGGTTTTATAGTGACTGCTGGCATCAACAAGAAAGCAAAGTGGATGATTTGAATATTTCTGTTTTAATCAGGCCCTGGATCTTTGGTTCATCACACAGTTGGTCATTTTTTGGTATTTCAGACTGATGAACAGGCTAGTTTGTGCAGGACGAAAACCGAAATACCAGTTTATCCACAATCTATAATTGTAGTTGTAGTAGCGGTTTTGTGCATCCATGCATACCTGAACACACTGGTATCTGGGCTGTTACGTGTCTGAAGACACAAATCAGAGTGACGGGCCATGGTTTCTATCACTGATCTGTGAATGGCTCCAGGCAGTGACAGATAACTCTGCAGCAGTACAGGTTCAGACAGGCAGGCTGCACAGGAGTCAGAAATACACCCCGAAGTCCTACTTTACCCATTTCACTGGGACTTTTTTGTATGCGAAAATTAATCAGACGAGTAAGTAACTTTTTGGAAGACAGACAAGTCTTCCTTTCTGAACCCCAACTGACAGCAGCACCACAGCAGCTTTAAACGTACTTGTTAATTCACACAATAAAATCAAGCTGCGCACCTTTTGTATGCATAACGTAGGTACCAGTCCTTAAATCTGACTCGTTCAGACAACCATAAACACAACAATTAGCTTATTTAATTTATTAACAGACAATTAAAATCCAGAGAAACAAAAGACTTTGACCACCACTGTGTACAACCAGCACTGTCTCAGTAAAATGTAAGCCACTGATCAGTCAGGAGTCTGTGGAGCTCAATTGGGGCCATAAAGTTTGTTCAAAAGAAAAATTAATTTGAAACTATGAAAAAGATTTGAAACTGAATTTGAAACTGAAAAAAAAAAGATTTGAAACTGGAAAAAAAAAAGATCAAAGCTACTTTTCAGATTCAAGTTGATCATTTTCAGATCTTTTTTTTTTTTTCAGTTTCAAATCTTTTTTTTTTCCTTCAGATTTTCATTCATTCAACCTTTATTTATACAGGTTAATCCCATTGAGCCTCGTGGACTCATTTACAAGAGAGACCTGATTTCTTAACAAAGAATGATGACAACATAACAAAGACAACAATAGACGGTCATAAAATAGGTATAGGTAAAAATTTTAAAAATAATATAACATAATTTTATAATAATAAAAAAATTTAAGTTTCTCTTTTTTTATTTATTTATTTATTTTACAAATCAAAACAAAACAAAATAGCAACCAGAAGGACAATCAAGAGGACTAGCAGCAAAAACCAGCTAGATTATAAGGCGATTTAGAAAACTAAAAACTAGGGGCCCCAATTTTCTTAATTTTGGGAAATCAGATGATACTTGCACGAGAAAGCGATTTTACCAATTTTTTTTTAGTTTTAACAACAGTTGTCTAAACTTTATTTATATTTCAGAGCACTACCTCATGGCCAGTTAAAACAAGCGTGTATTGTTTCTAAGATATTGTTCAAGGGTCTGTTTTTCAATAAAATAATATTGGCAAATTGAAGGTACATTGTGACCTAATAACACCTGACATTGTTGCTTATATCACAAAATCGGTATCGGCCAAAATCAGAATCGGCATGTCAGACTTTTTAGAAATCGGTGATCAGAGATCGGCCAGAAAACAGTGATCGGTGCACCCCTACTAAAAACAAATCTTTTTTACAGTTTCAAATTTATTTTTCTTTTGAACAAACTTTATGGGCCCAACTTAGCTCCATACAGCCACTCTGAATCAGAGTTATCATTAAAAAGGAAGGAAAGACACAACCAGACACAAACTAGACTACATCCGGCACTCACAGGGTTAATCGAGATTGACAAGGGAAGGATAGTTGCGCATGCGCAAGTGGCACTGACAGAGGAAACAGCCGGGGAGTAGTCAAACAACCCGCGAGCAGAGAGAAAGAAAGAGAAGAAGAAGAAAAAAAAATACTGAAGACAAATAACTCAGGTTCAGCGGAGGCTTTCTCCGCTCAGGACAATTATGCTCGTCTCGTCGCCGTCGACTCCTCACAGGTGTCCGCTTCCCGGTTGCTGAATGGCGCTGGTTACCGTGCAGCGTTCACCGACCCCCAGCACCAGCTCCAGCCCCTGCGTTTCGGTGAGAGCCGCTTTTTACTTATTTTACACCTTCCTCGACCTTTGTTTCCACCGCCTCTAAACTCAAACATTCTAGCTGTTGAAGGCGACCCAGGGCTCCGTTTCCGCTGTTTTTTTTATTTTTTTTTTATCGGCTGCTGACTGTCTCCAAGTGCTTTCGCCTTTGTACTCGTGCGCATGCGTCAACTGTAGCTCATCATTTTCAGTTACAGCATCGTAGCTCGCAGCTTAAGTCTCGAGTCGAGAGGACCATACTGTTACCTTAAAATTACATAAAATGTTCACTTCTGTTGTTGTAATGTGTTCACTAATTATCTTTGTATGCACACTTGCTTTAGTTCAGAGGTACAACCGGTGGTCAGCTAAATAAACGAATAATAACAGAAACAATCAGTTTATTTTTATTGTCCATGTGACACTATATAATACTGCTAGCTAATGTTTTGTAGCGGCAGAATTCCAGGTTTATATATATATATATATATATATATATATATATATATATATATATATTCACGACGTGCATTTTTATGCCATGTCTGTGTAGGGTTTAATTATTTCTTTGTTCTTTTATGATGTTTAGTTGAAGTTATGTCTGTCATCCATCTCCCCAGAGCCTCCCCTCACTCTGCACATCTGCTGCCCATCTCTTTCGGTCTCTCGCTGTGTGTTGTAAAAGGCTGGAGTTTTTCTGCTCATGCAAAGCAGGGGTGCAGACGGTTGTCCTGTTGCAGTTCCTTCACTGTCTTCTCCCTGCAGAAGCAGGAACCGCACCAGAAAATCAGACACAAAGTGAGGAAGTAATCTACAGGCAGACTGCTGTAACACAACTGTACACGCTTCCTGTGTAGGTGCTGCTCTGTGTATTGTTTGCACTGTCTTTGTAAGCAGTGAACATTACAGATGCCACCTTTACTTACAAACATAAACCCGTCATATTACACATTTATTTAAACATAAACTCTTTAAGTGGCTGGCAGGTTTCTATTCTTTTACAGTTTGTTACTGCAAGCCCTACAGTGAAATTTATGTCTGCCGCAAGATTTTCCTTCTTCATTGCTTTAAAGTTTGTATTTGTGTCAAAGGTATTATTTCTACCCCCTGCTGTGACGCAGAATCTCAAACTACAACTGAGTTACTTTTTACCCAAAGGCTCAGTGTCTGGCCTTTAAAGTGACCCTGTCCCTCACTTCTTTTGTAATCTGAGAGAACAGGTTCTGTAAGTAGGCATAAGGATAACCGTCTTGCTATGAGCACTTACATTTTAGGTGATTTGCCCTGTCATCTGTCATGCAACACAACTCAGAACTTGAAAAGTGAATGTTTAGACCCTGAGCAATCAGCAGCCAGGAGTGCAGGTTTGTGTTTTCCGGACGTTTCGGTTTGTTAGAGATGTGACTGTCAACCAGTCGATCCTCGAGATTAAAAAAAAGAGCTGTTGAAATGATAGAGTAGGACATTCGTGTGTAATTTACTAAGGTAAAGAATGCAGGAGTCGTGAATGATGTTGTGCTTCAGAGTGGAAATATGCTTTTAAGTTGGGAACTGCACATACTGTGATAACTAGTTGCACAAAAAACACGCTTGGCCTTCCATGTCTCGCAATCATGTGATGCCTAAAAGCTGTTTTCCCCTTTCCATGTTCAGTTGAAGCTTTGAATTTGTCTTGTGATGATGTTTGCGGAGAAAAGATGTGTAACACGAAGCACGCAAAGTTAATCATTTTGCTTTTGAACAGCATTTGTTTCATCTTGGTGATGTTATAACTTTTTAACATAATTCCAAAGACTGGTGACCAGGTGACCTATTTTATGTTTCTCATTTCCATGCACCGTGGAAAAATCTCCCATTTTCATGTATGCAAACACTCTCTTGGTGTTTTTTTTTTTTTAAATCTAAACAAATGTAAGTGATGCAATAGCACGTCGAGCTGTGATTAGTACATAAAATGCGAACTATTTTGATGCATTAATACATTAACAGAAATATCTTTTTACTTATTCTTTAGTTTTGATCGGTGTGTACAATCAAGCACTGTTTGTTTTGTCTGAAGGTTTTACTTATGACACTGGCTGCAACAAAGGCACTAAAACAATATTTTAATGGTATTCTCTCTTCAAGATACTTTTGTAGAGTTACAGCTGGTTTTCAGTTTAATCATTTTGTCGCACTTTAGCATAGGCTGTTTTGGGTAAAATTAATATGTGTATTTTTTAAAAGATGACCCATTAAATGGCTTATATTTCAGAGTCAGAGATTCTTTATTGTCATTCGCACCTCATGTGGTACATGTGGTGGAGCGAAATTATGTACACAGGGTCACAGTTACATCCAACAATAAAATGTAAAAGAAAAACGGTAATAAGATCCAAGATATGAACTAAGAAATACATCAACTAAATATACACTAAGCACTAATGGCATAAAAACATTACGTTGAACAGCAGCACGAACATGAGCATGAGTCTGTGTGAGCAGATGAGCACACATGAACACATCAACATGAAACAGATCAGCAGCAACATGAAACGGATCAGCAGCAACATGATGTGATTTTTCACAGTGATTATTCTGGTTAGAGATTCATGAGTCTAACAGCCTCAGGGTAGAAGCTGTTCCTCAGTCTAGTGGTTCTACACTTAATGCTCCTTAACCTCTTTCCTGAGGGGAGCAGGGCAAAAAGTGTGTGTGCTGGGTGAGTGGGGTCCTTCACGATGCAGGTGGCCCTCTTCCTGCTTCTGCATGTGTAAATGTCTGTGATGGTGGGGAGGCTGACTCCAGCAGACTTCTGTGCAGCCTTCACCACTCTCTGCAAAGCTTTTTCTTTCTGCAGCTGTGCAGCCTCCATGCCACTATATTTGCCACTTAAAAAAAAGGTATTTGGCCATGTTGCTAAGTACTTAACCAATTACCAAGTAGGACAATAAAGATGCAGCAGCTGCTGCTAAAACCAGCTCACTGGTTTACAATTTAGTTTTTTTATGCTCTGTTATTATATTTAGGTGTACATGTTGTTCTTAGGGTTGTTAAAATTGTTTTATGATATATTTTATTTAATGAAAAATACATACTGACCATAATAACAATATAAAAACAAAAAAGTTAGACCAGTCGGCCGCTGTACTTTCTAAATATTGGCATTGGCCGTTGAAAATCTTGTTGACCTCTAATTATATTTGAGTAAGTCGTGTTTTAGATGCTGAGCAGAGCAGATACCCTGGAGGGACTTGTAGGTTGCAGAGTCTCTTTACGAGGCGTCAATCGGAGCGCAGGATTTGCTTTAAACATCTCTTGGGCTGCTTCGTCTGACACAGTGGAAACCTGCTTTGGATACTCGGGCTGAAAGAAAATGAGCACCTCCCTTTGTGGGTTTTACAACAAACTGGAGCCACACAAAGTCAAAACACCTGGCAGTAAATTCTACTGCTAAGATTTTTTCTCCTAGTTTTTGCTTTGGTTCAGTGATAACTTTGCTTGTGTTTATATGTAGTCTTTGTCGTTGCAAAAGCAATGGCTTCCATTTGCACTGACCGTATCAATCCTTTTTGTTCCTAAATGGATAAGAAAATGATACGTGATATCAATTTGAGGCCTCGTTTTGTCCCTGCACTTTGTTGCCTATCATTAAACGGTTATCTACTTCTGTCTTTTCTGAACCTGTTAATGTTTTAGTAACGTCATTAAACCCACATTTAGAGCAAACAAGATAAGTACCGGGCAGTACAAGATATGTGCCAGGTGTTTATCTTCTGCTAAGCTTCGCCCTTTTTCATTTCAAAAAGCTTCGTATTACATTTTCCTCTTTGTCTCCCTGGTGTCTCTGCTCCTCTCTGTGTGTGTGTACATGTTATTCTCTGACCAGCCACACCTTAAAGACAGAATGAGATCATTTTCCTGGAGTGTGTAAATTGAGTTGAAGCTGAACTCTGCCTCCTTTCATGTCTCTTGTACCACTGCTCCGCTCAGGCAGGACTGAATATGCTAGTTGGATGCTACTTGTATAGGTTTGTTCCTGCCTTTAGCTGTGTGTGTGTGTGTATTCCAATAAATAAACATGTCTTCATTACCTAACACTACACAGCAAGACTTTATTTGTTCATTTTATTTTTCTAACACTGATTGGTAGATTTTTGATGAATGTGCATTTGTTCAAACTGGGCTCTGCTGCGAAACCCGCTTTTAAAACTTTCCAAAACAAGTCGCATTTTTTTTTTATTTTTTTAATGGCATCATCTTATTAAAATGTCTACATGCTTGTTTCGCTGTTGGTGACGTAGCATTGAGCATAATTAGTAAATATAACTTAACAATATTGAAATAGACCAATCATAAAAACACAAGTTTACATACACTAAGATTAATATGCGTCAAAACCAGTAGTTCTCAAACTGGGGTCCCCGGGCCCCTGGGGGGTCCACAAGCTGGTGCTTGGGCCTCTGCAATTTAAAAAAAAAATAAAATAAAAAAATTTACAAGCACATAGATATTTAACAACTCATTAAAATAGACCAACAATGCAGAAAATCGCTTTATTCAAAATTTTCTGGGGGAAGACCCCCCCGGGCTACTGAGTTCCAGCATCAGTCAGTTTACAAAACCCTGTTACTTGGTATGATTACCGCAGTTATGATTCTGTTCAGTTTTATGTAAATCGTTTTTCTGTAATAATTTGAAGAAGTGACGATACATTTATCTTCATTATGTGAATAGGTAAATTTTTAAAGGTGTAGTTGATACTGCTAATTTTCTCAGTGCAATTTTTAGAAGTTGAAATTAAAACTTTTGTTAATTAAGTGTGTCTTGAATGAAAAATACCCCATGTTTATAAATATAAAAATTGTATTAACACTATTAAAGAACAGGTCTTAAGTATTTATGTTACACAAATATTTCCATTTCATTAAAGAGACAAATTGAAGAAAATAATTTAATAAACATGAGGGTTATGAGCGACTCCCTGAAACTTTTTCTCCCCTGTAAGGGGTCCCTAAACCCAAAAAGTTTGAGAACCCCTGGTCAAAACAATCTGGGACAGCCCAAACATTGATGTGATGGCTTTGGAAGTGTTATAAGTTAACGCTAAATGTTAACAAGTTAGTTGACAATCGTTGAGTTAATTGGAGGCACACCCCGCCTCTCGCACTGTGATGGGTGAATATGGGCAACAGTGACTCCCGCAACTCAGAAAGGAAGAAGCTGGTAAAGATAACGGATGGCTGGATGTGCAGATGGATGGATGGATGGAGGCACATCTTAAACACATTGCCTTTTGTTGTGTGATGTCATAGAAAAATATATTAAAAAATCAACCAAGGAAGAGAACTGTGGACACAATCTTGGTTCATGCTTGAGCACAATTTCCAGATGTCTGAAGGTGCCGCTTTTATCTGCTCACACAATTGTAGATAAATATAGACCCCATGGAAATATCCAGCCATCATACCGCTCAGGAAGACAAATTCTGTTCTGTGCAAAATGTGTGGCTCAATCCCCAAACAAAAGCAAAAAGACCGTGTGAAGATGCTGCCTGAAGCTTGTAAGAGCTTGTCATTATCCAAAGTGAAACAAATCCTGTATTGACATGGGCTGAAAGGCCACTCTGAGGAAAAAAGCCTTTATTCTGAAAGCACCATAAAGCCACAATACAGTTTGCAAATGCACACAGGGACAAAGACCTTGATTTTTGAGACATGTCCTGTGGTCTAATGAAACTAAATTGAACTATAATGACCGTAATGACCATTGTTACATTTAGAGGCAAAAGGGAAGCGCCTGCAAGCCTGAGAACACCATCCCAACTGTGAAGTACGGGGGTGGCAGCAACATGTTGTGGGGCTGTTTTGTTGCACGAGAAGCAGAAGGCTATTGTGAGAAACTTGTGGAAGGGTATCCAAATTGCTTGACCCGTCATACAGTTCAATGGCAATGCTACCAAGCAATAAGAAAATGTATGTAAATTTGTGACTTTGAGGAAAGTCATAAATACTGGCCGCTCTTATTGTTTGGACATTTATGAAACGGAAATAATTTTGGGAGTTCTATTTGAGCTAAAACTGGAAAGGTCTAGTTTGGTTTAATGGCATTCACTGAGAAAAATATAGTTGTCTTTTTGTACAGTGTATTTGAACATCTGGTTAATCTGTACTTTATTAATATTGAGCCTATTTAAGATTAACAGAAGCATTTTAAAGGTTTGGCTGGACTGTCGTTAAATGTCTTACTTTTTTTTCCTAGGAGTCCGGTAGCGGGGAAGATGACCGCCGCTCTCAACCGAGGAGGTACGATTTTCTCAGACATTTGACCTCATTATTTCTTAAGTTTCAGCTATTTTCTTCATCGTTCAGTTCTTGTTTACATCATTATTTCAAAAATCCATTTAGTCAGTTGCAGACCCTTTTCTGTTGTTGACACAGAACCACTGTGCTGTTGTCAATCCAGTGCTTCCCCCTTTTGTTGTTTCCAGAGTTGGAGATCTGGTTTATCCCGTTTCACTTAACCACACATGGAACTGCTTTTAGTCTACTAGTAATAAGCAGTTTCCTTCCTCTGCCTAATGCTTTTTTATTTGATTCAAATGAGCACTTTCACTTCTCTTTTGTTATACTTATCCAATAAAAGCACAAGCCTGAAATCCTTTCATGTGAAACATTTAGGTGTAGTATTATGGATGTCCAATAGGGGGCAGCAGCGTCTGTGTGAGTCTGTTTATATGGGTCAGAGGAGCTGCTGTTCTGTTGCTGATCCAGGGACAACCACTCCCAAAATGTCTGTTTGTCTGTCTGGTCATTGGAGCTCTGTGCCGTCCATCTGACGAGGACTGTATTATTTGGGCATCTCGGAGTAAATTTATTAAAAGTAAAATACGGAAGCTGAATGTGTGTATAAACAAGGAGAGGTAAAATAGAAATTGAGATGTCATATTGGCTTTAAAAGTTCTTTAAAAAATAATAAAATATTTAGAATCCATAAAATAATGTTCCTGCTCTTATTTTTTACAGCCATTGCAACATTTAAATAAAGTTAAACATTTGTTTGAAATTATGGAGCTTCTGACGTATATTTTTATATATTTTATTGTAATTACCCATCACCGAAAGGAGAAGACCCTTTTGGTGATGGGTAATAAAAGTGCATATAGCTTTTGCTCTTGTCTGTATGTGTGTCTGTATGGGTCTGTAATCAAAATGTTTCATGAATCATTGAATGAGTTTTGATGAAACGTGTAAAAAGTAATCGATGGATGTACATCTACAGCTGATTAAATTTGGAGTCAACCCAATTCAAGATGGCTGCCACTGCCACCTGATCTTAAAAAACAAACATTTCTTTAACTCAGTCATTTTACAGATATTAATCTACAAATATGTTACGGTAGTTGCGGAGACTGATCCTCAACACATTCTGAGTGGTAACAGGTTGTGCAAGGTCTTTGTTTAAACTATTTGAAGCCAACTTTGTCTGTGATTTGAAACTGGATGGATTTTAGTGAAAACTTTAGAAAGTAATCCTATGATATACAGGTGCTGGTCATAAAATTAGAATATCATGAAAAAGTTGATTCATTTTAGTAATTCCATTCAAAAAGTGAAACTTGTATATTATATTCATTAATTATACACAGACTGATATATTTCAAATGTTTATTTCTTTTAATGTTGATTATTATAACTGACAACGAATGAAAACCACAAATATCTCAGAACATTAAAATATTACATAAGACCAATAAAAAAAAAGGATTTTTAGAAATGTTGGCCAACTGAAAAGTATGAACATGAAAAGTATGAGCATGTGCAGCACTCAGTACTTAGTTGGGTCTCCTTTTGTCTGGATTACTGGAGCAATGCGTCGTGACATGGAGTGGATCAGTCTGTGACACTGCTCAGGTGTTATGAGAGCCCAGGTTGCTCTGATAGTGAGTGGCCTTCAGCTCTTCTGAATTGTTGGGTCTGGTGTATCACATCTTCCTCTTCACAATACTCCATAGATTTTCTATGGGGTTAAGATCAGGCGAGTTTGCTGGCCAATTAAGAACAGGGATACCATGGTCCTTAAACCAGGTACTGGTCGATTTGGGACTGTGTGCAGCTGCCAAGTCCTGTTGGAAAATAAAATCTGCATCTCCATAAAGTTGGTCAGCAGCTGGAAGCATGAAGTGCTCTAAAACTTCCTGGTAGATGGCTGCATTGACCTTGGACCTCAGAAAACACAGTGGACCAACACCAGCAGATGACATGGCAACCCAAACCATCACTGACTGTGGAAACTTGACACTGGACCTCAAGCAACATGGATTCTGTGCCTCTCCTCTCTTCCTCCAGATGTTGGAACCTTGATTTCCAAAGGAAATGCAAAATTTACTTTCATCAGAGTACATAACTTTGGACCACTCAGCAGCAGTCCAGTCCTTTTTGTCTTTAGCCCAGGTGAGACACTTCTGACTCTGTCACTTGTTCAAGAGTGGCTTGACACAAGGAATGCGACGGCTAAAACCCATGTCTTGCATACGTCCGTGCATGGTGGTTCTTGAAGCACTGACTTCAGCTGCAGTCCACTCTTTGTGTATCTCCCCCACATTATGAAATGGGTTTTGTTTCACCATCCTCTCCAGGGTGCGGTTATCCCTATTGCTTGTACACTTTTTTTCCTACCACATCATTTCCTTACCCTCCTTGTGCAAGGTGTCAGTGATCACATTTTGGACAACTGTCAAGTCAACAGCCTTCCCCATGATTGTGTAACTTACAGAACTAGACTGAGAGACCATTTAAAGGCCTTTGCAGGTGTTTTGAGTTAATTAGCTGAGAAGAGTGTGGCACCAGGTGTCTTCAATATTGAACCTTTTCACAATATTCTAATTTTCTGAGATACTGAATTTGGGGTTTTCATTAGTTGTCAGTTATAATCATCAACATTAAAAGAAATAAACATTTGAAATACATCAGTCTGTGTGCAATGAATGAATATAATATACACATTTCACTTTTTGAATGAAATTACTGAGATAAATCAACTTTTTCATGATATTCTAATTTTATGATCAGCACCTGTATATAACAGATGAATTTTAAATTAAATTCCCAGAATAATGCTAAAGATCTGTCCCTTCTCATCATAAAATGATTTTAATTTAAAGCTCTTTTGTGAAACGAGTTCCTTCAATGCATTTTTGCCTTTTAAGTATACATTTACACAATTGTCAAATGACTAAATGTAAATCTTGCATGTTTCATATACTCAGGAAGAGAAAATATTTTTAATATTCAAAATTGTAGAATTATAGTAAAAACTGATAAAATTATTAAAACTATGGATACATTTTTTTAGCTCTTACCTGGTTTTAAGCTTCCCATTCCTGCTGCTTATAAATAATAATAATGAAATTTTCCAAATAGTCAAAAGCAGAATGTTTGTTCACATAACTCTACTGAAGTGTCTGTTAAAAGGCAAGGAGCTGCAGCAGACGTCATCTCTGACACAGGTAGTGACAGTCATTCTGACTAGCACACAACGATGCTTTGTGTGTGTGTGCGTAAGCAAAGCCCACTGCAGTGCTGCTGATTAAACTCAGTGACATCAGCAGAATCATGACATCAGCTAAAGCAGCAACATTACTGGCTGACCTACAGAAGAGATATTAGGAGGAGACAGAGGAATTTAATGTCTCCAGTTGTTTTTCATAGTATTCCTGATCTCTTATAATCTCCAGGTGGACTCTTTTTTCACTTACTTATTTACTTACGTACTTATTTATGAATGGGAACTGCATGGTTACATGCACAATTAAATTCTCTATAACTGAGAATTTTTAATCACTTTATTGTAATCCAATGTAATTATGTTTGGCAGTCCACCATATTGTTTAAGATGAATTAAGAGATTTTACTTATCAATTAAATACGGATCAATATTGATTGAGTGAACTTGTGGTTCAGATAAATTCTAAATAACCTTGAGGAAGTACTGTATACAGCAACTGGTGTTGTGATTGCTAACGTGGCTGCCTGTGTTTGTATACGTGGAAACAGAGCAGCAGATGAGTGTATTGTGTGTGTATGCTTGTAAAAAAAAAAACCACATCCTGGCCTTTGCTGCTTCTCATTGGACGGTGTGAGTTTCAGCAGTCAAACAGAAAAACAGTCAGGTGGAACTTGAGAGGTGGGCCCATAAACACACACATAAACATGTGGGTTGCTGAGACAGGGCTGCAATCTGATGTGTGTTAATAAAAGATGACACAAATACTTACCTCAGTGACAAAACAAAGAGAAGAAAAATTGAATACAGTATACTAGTGTCAGAAGGTCGGAAAAGGATAAAGAACCAGCAGATAGGAAAATAAACTGAATGTTGTGTAGGTAATCATGAATCTGTTGTGGAGTTCTGGCCACTTTTAGGTTAAGTAGTTGATATCACTTTATTAAGGCTTCTTTACAGAAGCTTAGGTCTAATCATTGTTACTTATCTTCTCTTTTTATTCCGCCTAATGTTTAATAAATTAAAGGTCTAGCATTCATTTCATGCCAGAGTTTTAAACTAAGATCATCTTATGTTGAGAAATGACAGATTTGTAACCATTGTTGGCCAAACATTGAAAGTAACATTATGCGCAGTGCAAAAATCAGCAAACTTTTTTTTTTTCCCCACTATGGAGTATGCTGTTTGTGGGAATCTGTTTGTTTGGTGGCTCCTCAGATTGAAGAAATCCTTTGCTGTGGTGGACAAGCTGTGGTGGCCATCTTTAATTGAATTTGCACCAAAAGTAATCATTTGTAGAGGTATATCCAGTGATTATTTCCTGAAAGTTGTATTGAAATTCAGCTTGTGGGTCATGTTTTTGCTAATAGGCAGACAGTTTATCCTAAAGTATTATTGGTAAAAATAATCTAAATCTGTTTGCACTAAGAATTCGAGCCTGACCGATATGGAAATGTTGGCTATTGCCGATACTGATATTGGGAGGGCACGGCGAATGCCAATAACCGATACAATGGCTGAAATTATTATTTTTTGCTCTGCCCACCCTTAAGAATCTAATTAAACAGCGTTACAGCGAGTGGAGCGGGGCTTGTTTATATAGCTGTTAGCAACCATGAACCTAAAGCTAATCAGATCCACACTATACATAGTCCCAGGTTTACAAGTGGTGCACTGGTCATAAAAACAGTCTTCCTAATGTGCGTTCACATTTTCTATCCTCCACTATTCACCATATTTTCTATCCTCCACTATTCACCATATTTTCTATCATCCACTATTCACCATACAATTGTAGTCC